AGTGGCATATATCCACACACACTCACACATGCACTTATATGTTCATGCACTGAGTAGGTCTCTCAGAGCCTCTCCTACATAGCAATTACATCGGTCACTGTGTACTGAAAGGTGCATTCAAACACTCATGTTTCCCCTACAATTGAAGTGAGTGATGATTCATGGCATCTGCATCCCCATTAATGAGACAAGGTGGTCTGTCTCTAGGCTATCCCTTCTCTCCTGAAAGGGGCTCAACCCTATATAGCACTGGGAAGCACTGACCTCCTCTGCATGGTCAGCTCCCCATGGTGTGACTCCCATCTTTGCCATGGTCCCAAGGTCTGGGTTCTCAGGACTAATTCCATTTGTGGACATCTGTCCTCATGGAGAAACCAACAATAGCTTCTTCATAAATAATGCTTTGGTAGATTTGGATGGTTGGATTCATTTGAAAGCACTCACTTCTTCTCTTCATTTGACTACAGCTTCCTTGTCTAAGAGGAGTAATTCATGAGACAACCAGCATAGGAGGAAACTGAGTGAAGAGCTTACAAAGACAAACCCCTGTCTTCATGGGTATCAGATTGGGGTGACCTCAGCTCAGGCAAGGAACACAGTGAAAATATTGCCATCAGGAGCTGGGCAGGGGTGGTTAAAGTGTGTGTGGCACCTAGAATGTTCTTGTTATTTTACTTTTTATTTAAAATAAGGTTATTTTCATAGAATATATTCTGAACATAGGTTCTTCTCCCTCATACCCGCCCCACCTTCCCACTTGTCCTTCTAATGCCACACCTTTCCCCCTGTCTCTTAAGAAAACAAACAAAAAAGACAAACAGGTACAAAAGAAAATGAACAAACAGAAAAAAAACCAAGCATCTCTCTCTCTCTCTCTCTCTCTCTCTCTCTCTCTCTCTCTCTCTCTCGCACACACATGCACACGCACATTCACATGCACATGTACACATGGGCACACACACACACACACACACACAAACACCCCACAAAAACATAAAATCAGAAACCAAAAGACTGTAATATTAAAAAAAATGGCCAACCAAAGTAATATAAGAACTTCAAAAAATTTTGAAAAATACCATTGAGTTTATTTTGTAATGATTGTGTACTGCTGGCCATGGGGCCTACCTTTAAGTGTGATTCATATATTTAGTGCTGCTCCCCTGGACAAACAAATTTTCCCTTTGGAGCAATTATCAATTGGGGTTCATTTCTTGGTTGGTGATAAAACCTTGTGTCTACTTCTCTATCTTAGCACTGGCACCCTGTCTGGTTTGGACCTGTGCAGGCCCCGTGTAGTCTATCACAGTCTGTGTGAGGTCATACTGCGTCAGTTCTGAGTGTGGAAGGTGTTGTTTCCTTGTTGTCATCTATCCCCTCTGGCTTTCACAATCATTTGCCTCCTCCTCTTCCGCATGTATAGTTCCTTGATCCCTGAGAGAGGGATTTGATGGAGACATCCAGTTAGAACTGTTTCCCAGTCCTCACTCTGCACATTGTTCACTTGTGATATTCTGTATCAGTTTCCGTCTCCTGAATGAGAGTGGTTTTCCAATGATGACTGAGACACTGATCTATGGATATAGCAGAGAGTCATTGGAAATCATTTTATTTCTACATTCCTTTAGCACAATGGTAGTGTTTGTTTCAACCCTAAGCATTGTCTGTCTAGTCTCAAGTTCTTGGCCACAGTGAAGTGTCAGCCATGAATTCCCTCTCATGGAGTGAACATTAAATCCAATTAGATTGTGGTTAGTTACTCCCACGATACTTGTGCCACTAAACCAGCATATCATGCAGACATGTCACCATTGTAGATCAAATGGTTTGGAGCTGAGTTGGTGTTAGCTTTTTCCTTTGGTTGTATACACAATACATTCTAGTACCATGAACACTAGTCAATAGGTGTCAAAGCCCTAGGAAAGCACCAGATGAACTTCTCTGTGGTCAGTGAAGAGTGGAAATGTTGTCTTCAGTAACAGGGTCTTCACATCAGTTTGTGGAGAGCAACCAATAATGTTGGTAATAGCCTGAGTTGTTTTGGAATTTCTATCAGGCCCTGTCATTGTTATTGTTTCATTGCTGTGAATGGACTACATGGCTAAGGCAACTCTTAAAAAGGCAAATGGGGTTGGATTATAGTTTCAAAGGTTTAGTCCATTATCATCTTGGTGGGAAGCATTGTGACATGCATCCAGACATCGTGCTGGAGGAGCCAAGAGTTCTACATCTTGATCTGAAGGCAGCCAAGGGAGTGTGTTAGGCAGGCAGCTGACTCTTCAACACTGGACAGAGCTTGAGCATAGGTTGGGACTTCAAAGCCCATCCCCAGAGTGACAAATTTCCTCAAACAAGGCCACACCTTCTAATAGTGCTATTCATGGTGGGCCAAACATTTAAACACATGAGTCTATGGTGGTCCAACCTGTTTAAACCACCACAGGTCCATTTGATAACAACTCAGTTAGATGGAACTCATTCCTGGTAAATACTAGAGGTTTCACTTGATTGATAGTAATGTCTAGTTGGGGCTCTAGCTGCCTTATTATTTGTTGATACCATTTAGATTTCCTTCATGCATGTATATATTTTAAGAAATTTCTAATGTATGTTTTTATAGGACTCCTCAAATATCCCATATTGTTATCAGTTTCTCTGCATATTTTATCCCTTACCCTCCTCTTCCCTCCTCCTCCCAGTTTCATCCTCCTGTTACAGTATCCCACCTGTTTCTCCCTAACTATGTAGTGTACTTCCCTTCCCTTGGGAGATCTTCCTTCCCCACTAGTTCCTTACTCTATACCTGATCTCTGTAGTTATTCCAAGAGCAGCATGTATACCAAAGACATAACAGCAAATATGCACATACAAGTGAGTGTGCATGTCTTTTGGGGTCTGGGTTATCTCACTCAAGATGAATTTTTCTAGCTCTATCTATTTGCTTTTGATTTTCATATTTTAACAGTTAAATAGTATTCCTTTCATTAATGTACTACATTTTCCTGATCCTTTCATCTGGTGATGGGAACCTATGTTGTTTCCAACTTCAGGAAATTACAAATAGAAGACCAATGAATACGTCTGAGCAAGAGTTTCTGGGATGTAGAGTCCTTTGGGTATATTCACAAGAGTACTATAACTGGATCTTGAGGTAGAATATGAAGTTTTAGAGAAGTGCCCTTTCCTGGCTTTGGGGGACCTAGAAAACAAGGGTTACTAAACTCACTTAAGAGAGAGGATAATGTAACCACTTGGAATCAATGTGGAAACAATTGCATACAGTGTGGTTCTCAAAAAAGTTCAGAAAATACCTGATCTTGAAGGAATTTATGTATGCTATAGCCTAGAAGCTTTCAAACTTTAATAAATTATAATCCTGTATTTAAACAAAATCCTGAAGCCAATTCTTGAAAATGTACTTACTTGGGCCTGATGTGGTGTTGCAGACCTTTAATCTCAGCATTTAGGAGGTGGAGGCAGGCAGATCTCCCTGAGTTCAAGGACAGCCTGAACCCACCAAAACCCACCAAGCCCAAGCCCTAGCCTTAGGTCACAGTAGGTTAGGGGTGGAATCTTTTGGACATGGACATGAGTCTTTGTGACTGCAGTGCAAGCATGTGCACATGCTGGGCATAGAAATTGAGTTTGAAACAGAGAACCAGTGTCTGAAGACACAAGGGCTGTTTCTTTAATTTCCTCTTGCCTCCCTGTCATGGTTCTGTCCTTTTGGCCTGAGAAATCATCCCTACTCTC